GTGGAAACAGCCTGGCCTTGAACTTGGTGGGTTTGAGATGGTCGGCTTCCTCTACAGACTCCTAGGCTGCTGAGGCTAAAGTCTTCTTGCACAATGTCCTGGCCTTGTGATGGTTCACTGACCCTGTGATGAAGTTTGTAGAAAAATGCAAGGGTGGGGTAGAAGAAATATAAGTGTTCTAGCAGGCAACTGTCCAAGTCAGCCCTGGATTGTTATCTTGGGCAAAATATCTTTTCTTCTTCTTCTTCTTCTTCTTCTTCTTCTTCTTCTTCTTCTTCTTCTTCTTCTTCTTCTCTTCCTCCTCCTCTCCTCCTTCTTCTTTTCTTCTCCTTCTTTTCTTCTTTGTCATCTTCTTTCTCTATCTCTATCTCTCTTTATCTCTCTCTTTATCTCTCTCTCCTCTCTCTGTCTCTCTCCCTCTCTCTCTCTCTCTCTCTCTCTTTTCAAGACAAGGTTTTTTGTGTAGCCCTAGCAGTCCTGGAACTCTATAGATCAGGCTGACTTTGAACTCTGAAATTCACCTGTTTCTTCTGCCTTCTGAGTGCTGGGTCTAAATGCATGCATCCCCACCATCTGACAATATGCTTTTGGGTGATCAACAGGCCTGTGTACCGGTGAGGTGAGTCTGACCCCTTTGGACAGTGAAGGGTGCAGATGACATGAAGACAGATGTCTAGCACTTTGTACCACCCCAGTCTCTGCAGGATCTTGTAAAGAGCCAGCCTTGCTATACAAACGGGATCCACGCAGTGACTGTGGCCACTGAGAGGCCAGTAGTGGCCCTGGCATCCTAGGCCTGGTTCTTCCCAGAGTTAGGTTGCTTGGGAATGAAGCCCAAAGGGGGTAATAAACTCCATCTAAGGCTAAATGCTAACCTGAGCCTGATGGGCAACAAGGAAAGTTGAAAAGAAAGAAGAAAGAGACCGGCCCTGGTGTGAGATTCTGAAACTTCAAAGCCCACCCAGGGACACAGTCTCTCCAACTAGGTCTCATCTCCTAATTCTTCCAGTCCTTCTCAAATAGCATCACTCCCTAATGATTCAACATTCAAATATATGAGCCTATGGGGGTTATTCTTATTCAAGACACCACTTTCAGTTTTTGCAAGGTGACCTAAGTGGCCATTATTCATCCTAGCTGCCAAGCCAGAGGCCTTATCCACAGCCATGCTGGAAGCAAACCGAACACATTAGTCCTATGCTGGCCTAGTCAGAGTTTGGCCTTGTGACCTAAACTGGTGTTTTGTGACAAAGCTTTGAAAGAGTATAAGGACTCGGGTAAAGGTCCACACACTACACTTTTAACCGATGACAGATTAATGGCCCAGAGTTTATAGTCCCTTTGTGGTCCCTACCTGTTCACTGGAGGTGGGTGGGTGTAGACAGGTAGACCCTCCAAGAGACTATGACTTTAAACCCACACAACCTATGTGTGACTTCCACCAGGCCCTCTCTCCCCAGAAGTCATTCTAAGGGAATATCAACCATGTGCCCCCAAAATGCCCATCTAAGTACCAATAGGTCTAAGGTAGGTCAGAAGTCATCTCTATGTTCAAAATAAAGTTGGAACCATGAATGACAGTCCCTCATGTTATGATGTCAGAGAATTTCCTGTCTGGAGAATAGGCAGCCTGCACGACAGTCCATGGGGCAGTGCTCAGAGCCAGAGACCCTTCCCATGTCTGTGACTGGCAGGGAGGGGTTTGTAAGGATGGGAAATGTACAAAGACAGCTGGAGAATGGGCGGATTCAAGAGGCCTGTGCCAGTCTATGCTCCGGAGCTCTGCCCGGTGGAGAGCCTGTCCTTGGCAGGCATGTTTGCCCAGTGTCCAGTTGATACAGTCTTCAGAAGAAATCCAAGAAGAGTCCCCAAAATGACACAGTCTAGGGGTCTTGGTTGGGTTCCTTTTCTCTGCCAGTTAAAGGAAGAAAAGGCAGGAAACATCTGAACCACAACGGCAGCAGCGGAGAAACCTGCACCGCAGACAGACTCACCGGCAGGGAATCATGCTTGCTGGGGGTGAGGAAACACACACGCAGCGGGCAGACACACAGAGAAGGCCCTGCAGAGGGTGACCCGAGAAGCCGAAATTGGTCAGTCTCTTCTTGAGGGCTGGGGCTCCGAAAGCCCCTGAAGAGTCACCCCGCCCCTAGTTTAGGGTAGATCAGCTTGAAGAAAGGAAGGATGGTTGATTGGTCCAGAACTGTTGTGTGACCTCCTGAGCCAGGGTGAGGGGCACTTGTGGGACAAAAGCCCCCAAGGCCTTTGTTTTAGGCTGACAGGCTTCTGTCTCCAGTCAGAAGATTGAGGAAGAAGTTGGCCATCTTGGAGATTTGCCGCCTCTATTGCCTAGCAATGACCCCTGTCGCTGTCTGCCCACCAGGGAGTCAACGCCTAGACTCTCACAGTGGCACAGTGTCCTACAGTGGTAGTCCTCTCTCCTCCACTCCACCCACATCTCCTACCTCATCTCCCTCCAAGGTTGTCTTCTCTGAGCCCTCACCACGCCAGCCAAGATCTTAGTGCCTCAATATAATAGATCGCTGGCTCCAACCCTCCACCTCCAGTACGTTCATGACCTTCCCTTGAGACTCGAAGAATGTTGAAGCTGGAGAGTCATGAGATAAGATGCTTTGACATCTCTAGGCACTGATTTTATTAAATAAAAGGCCATAGAGGAGGACTAGAGAAGCAGAGAGGGTATTCCTTTGTCTTGTGGCATGTATTCACCACAAGGGTGACAGCTGCCAGCCTGGTGGCTTGGTTTGTGCTGGTCACTCCTCAGATAATTGTTTTGAGAATTTTTTTTTTCAGCCCATTCACCCTCCCTAACATCCTTGCAAGGCTGCACCGGAGCTGGAGGGAGTGGTTGTGACGGTTCCAGGAATCACTGGCAATGAATGGACTTGGGAATTGGAGAGAGGGGAGCTTCATGGAAGGGTCGGGCCAGACACAACATAGACACACTGTTTTAGTCCATTACTAGCATAGAGAAAAGGGTGTGTGTGTGTGTGCGTGCGTGTGCGTGCGTGCGTGTGTGTGTGTGTGTGCGTGCGTGCGTGCATGTGTGTACTTACCTGTCTGTGTATGTGGAGGTCAGAGGTCAGTAATGATTATCTTCTTCGGTCACATGCTACCTTGTTTTTTGATGCAAGGTCTCACACACTGAAGCTGATCTGGCTGTTATGGCTGGTCTGGTTAGCCAGCAAGCCCCAGCACTGGGGTTACCGACATGCACCGCTATGACAGCTTTGAACCTGGGCTCTGGGGATCCAAACCCAGGTCCTCACGCCTGCACAGCAAACGCTTTCCTGACTGAGCCATCTACTCCTCCCCTTGATTGAGTTTTTTATTCCCTTTTCTCTAGCAATCAAACTCTAGAAAAGAGAAAATATCTAGTGATAAAAATAAACCACAGGAAACAAGGCAAAAATTAAACCCCCATAAATGGAGGTTGCCCCAGATTCAGAGGTCACAGTGGTTCAGGTTGGAGCTCAGTAGAGGTAACAGCTATGGAGAAAGAGCTGGGTTGTGGAATCAGCAGTGTTTAGGTCTCCATCCTCCATGTATTCACCCCCAGGGCCCCTGCTTCTCTCCTCTGAGGCAGGGACTCTGGAGCTGCCTCATGTCCTTGGTCCAGGGCAGCTAGGGAAATACGGGCCTAGCCTGTGCTTTCTACATCATCCTGGCCTCTGTCCTGCATCTGTCATTTTGCAGCTGTGTAGCTCGTGTCGCCTCTGACTCTCAGTATTCCTGACTATGAATAGGGTGTTGGTAATGGGGCACACTTTGTGCGATCGAGTTGAGGACATTGGATGCATGTGAAACCCTGGGGAGGGGGCAAGGTTCAGCGGGTGATGACTGTGTCGCAGGCACTGGCTCCGACGTGTGCGGTGCCCATGCCCTGTGTCTGGTCCAAAGCTGTTCCTCCGCTCACCGCTATATTGTCCTCAGGGACACTCCACACCACTTGAGGTCGGGGATTTTTAAAATCAGACTTGAATTCTCGAATTCTATGGCACAGCGTCTAAAAGTCGAATATCTCTCCAACTGTGCTGGATCCTAGGGTGTCGGGGCACGCTGATGCATCAGACACAGGTGTTGGATCAAGTTCAGTCAGCATCTGCTTTGTCACTGGAGGTCCATAATCTACTTTCCCATATGGCATAGAATGCCAGGGGACAGGCCCCGCCATCAAGCCCCTAGTGACTTTTCTGGCAGCCATTGAACAAATGACTGGGCTTGAAATCCCACCTGCTGCCAAAACGATGTTCCATCAACGATGTTTCAAGAAATGTACAAATAAGAGTTCCCAGCTCAGTATGGAGCTTGTATTGCCTTTATCCACCACAATTTCACACAAAGCTCAAATTGTTGCAAAAACACTTGAACTCCACTACTAGGTGGGTGCTTTGAAGAAATTGTTAGGTGTGTGGCAATTATTCGCATGCCTTGGTTTAGTCCAGTCCCAACTCTGCCATGAAGCCCTGCTCGCTCTAGCAAGGCTCGGAGCCACCGGCCTGCAGGGGAGCCCCGGTCACAAAGGCACAGGTGAACAGCCCTGAACAAATCATCATGGGAGCCCTGATGAAACTGTTTTCCGGTAGCAAGCAGACTTGAATGAACCTGGGAACTGTGAATAGACCGCCACTAAGACACGTGGCCCCGTTCCCATTCACTTTCTGCCGAAACCCGGGGGTTTAGTACAAACCAAACCAGGCAGGGGCTCTGGGCATGGATACAGACAGGAATGTGTCCATTAAGACAGGCCTGTGGAGGTGGAGGCCACCCCGTGGCCTCACCTCCCAGCCAGGAATAGAGATGCAAAGTGCACAGATGATCCATGCAAGGGGGCAGGGGACAGACACACTTCCAGGTGACCTGAGGGCCGGCCTTCCTTGAGGCGTGCCAGGGATGCCCCAGTCACAACACTGAGAAAGAGAGCAAACACCCCTCAGGAAGAAACACATTCACCTCTAGGCGGATCTTGTTCTCTGCAGGTGGCTCGCCAGTTTCAGCCGTCTGTGGTGTGGATCCAAGACGCGGAGAAAACCTTCTACAAAAGAGTCCCACAGGCTGAGAGGCAGGTGAGTCCTCCGGGTGGCCTTCATGTCATTCTTTGTTTTCCTTCCTCTGGGGGAGGGAGCTCACCAGGAACCATCTCTACTTTTCAAGAAACTTTTAGCTTTTTCAAAACAGTAAGGGAGACACCGCCGGGGCTTTAAATCCTTCCACAGTAGGCTCTGCCCTAAGTGCTTGTCAGTATTTGAAAGAAGCCAGGGCCTTGATTTTTATGAGGCATAATTTGGAAGAAAAAAAAATGAGAAAAATAAAAAAGGAAGGAGGGAGGTTTTTTCAGCCCAAACATGATTCAGAGGAAAGAAACAATACCGAAAACTCCGCTCAGTTACAGCCAGGGGCGCACATGGAGTTATTATTACAATTTCCTATTGTTCATAATAATAAATAGCAAAGGGCCTGGAATTCGGGAACAAAGGCCATCAACAGCAAAGCTAAGTGCCCTGCATTCAGGGCCTCCAGGGAGCTCAGTCTCAATTGCTTCCTTCCTCCTTTTCTCTCTTTTCAATGGCCCCCCTCCCCCACACTTCCCCCCCACAAATCACCAGCAAATTTCCCACAAGTTTAAAAAAAAATTACAGATACACAGGCTTGTTATTCCACACCAATTTGTAGCAAAGCAAATAGTGGTTAGCTGTGGATTCTGATTAAATCGGTAAGGATTTTAATCACTTATGTATTATACATCATTTTCAGCAGGTAGAGGTGATTTGGGCAAAGCCCAAAAGCTCAATCTTTGCTTCTCCAAATGAGCCCTGATTGCCCTGTCATTTCAAAACCTCTTAGGAAGACTCATTTGTTATAGTTCATCTGGGAATCTGGTGGCTAGCGCCCTCTGCTGACCATGTCAAGACATTGAGGAAGGAAAAAGTCCCAAGATGAAACACTGAGGACAGAAAACTGTGATCATAGGTCTAAAGGGCATCGTATGTCTAAAGAGGCGTGCAGGCCTATGTGTATTAGACAGGGGTCATATTATCGTGTCATCATAGTGTGGGCTGCTAATGGACGTGGAGATTTGTCTCCTACAGGACTTCACCCTGAGTAATGTGAAATTCAGAAGGCAGGTTCTGCCGCTCGCCTTAGCTAGCTGTGTGTCTTTCACCAAGTAACTTAACTATCGGCCAGAAGAGCCTCTGACCTCAGGAAATTTCTCTGGTTTCCTCTCCCATAACCCCAGTTGGCCGTCACAAACGACTACAACCCAAGTCCACAGAGAATCCGAGGAGGGCGGCCTGTTGATGAGAGATCTGAAGGCCAGGGTAGAGGGCTGGGGTTGCCTTTAGGGGTGCTGGTGGCGAGCAGCAAGATGAGAAACTCCCATGGAGAAGCAGTGTGCAAGGCGGGAGGCGGGGATGGAGAAGTTGGTGGTACAGACGGACCACCTCTCCAGTCTCTGCATCCACCCTTTCGCTCTTGTCTCCCTGATCCCACAAACACCATCCATAGCTGAGTCTGGTCTGTAGGTGATGGAGGCTGGGGAGGCACGGGCCTCACTGTGGACAAATTGAACGTTTGCTCTGTTCACATCCTTGACTGTCAGGGGAATTTCCCACTCTGAAGACCACAGACTGCACCCTGCACAAGTCCCGGAACATGGTAGTTGCTTTTCTGTTGCCGCAATAAAACAATGTGACCAAGGTATCTTAGAAAAGAAAGCACTTAATTTGGCTTATGGTTTCAGAGGGTTCTAGCTCACGATGGCCTAGTGAAGTCATGGCAGCAGGAACAGCTAAGAACTCACATCTTGCTCTAAGAGCTGGAGGCAGACTGCGCACTGGGAACGGCATGAGTCTTTTGAAACCTCAAAGCCTGTTCCCACTAACACACACCCTTGAACAGGCCACACCTCCTGGTCTTTCCTAAACAGTTCTACCAGCTGGGGACCAATCATTAAGATATGTAAGCCTATAGGGGCCATTATCATTCAACCCACCACATAAAATATGCTATTGGATTTGAGTAAAAACATTCCTAAGGTGTCTGAACACAAGGCCCAGGGGTGAGTCAGCCACCCCAGCAGGAGGTGGGGTCCTGTGGGGAAGAGTCACATATGGGCATGGCAAGCTCCAGAAGATCTTGGGCACAGCAACATCCTATCTGACCCAGGGGAGCAGGACCATAAAGTTCCCATCGCCTTTCACCATGCCAAACCTGAGGCTGGACTTGCTCTACCCACGTTTCCCAGTCACCAGATCTTGGGAACCAACAGCAGTGGGTACCCGTTTCAGAACGGGAGGATCAAAGGCCAGGTCCGGCAGTGGTTACAGTGGAAAAGAGGACTTGGGGCAGCATTCTCACCAGCTCCTGGCCACATGGAACCCAGAGTCCTTTTCCCCACATGTGCCAGCTTCTATCCCAAAGGATTCTCTGATCTCCAAACTACAAATGCCCAGAGAAGAAAACGTCTACCTAAAACCAGGAGGCCAGATCTGAATGACCACAACCACAGCGAAAGAGCAAGGCCACCTGGCATAGGGTGGCCTCCTGCCGTGCTCGGAGATTCTAGAAGTGTCCCTTGAAATCATATCCGTAGGAGTGTATCCCCCAGTACCTCTGCCTGGGGTTAAGGTCCCACACAGTGAAATTCATGGAGCTTGCCCCCTTCTGAACGATGAGGGGATGGAGAAGGCCTAGCCACAAGAAAACCGGAATGTAGAGCCTATATCAGGATGCTACACTTGTGAGGTATGAAGACAGCTTCTGGCAGAGATGGCAGATAGAAGAGGCACAATAGACCCATGAGAGAGACTCCCCGTAAGCCTGGGAGGAAGTTTGTCCATCTCTCACAGAAAGAGACCAGAGATCCAAGTGAACACAACTGGGAAGGGGTACTGTGGGACTCGGAACCAGGCTAAGTGTGGAGGCCATATCTTCAACCTGCCTGAGTGCCACTCACATGCAGGAAGACCCTCAATGTGGATCTGACTTTCCCTTCTGCTATAGGGCCAGTCCTCTGTTCCTCTGTACCTCCCATAACTCCCCTGGGCCCTGGGGACCTGCCTTTGAAGACCTCTTGTCTTAGGGACCAAAGATGAGATGCTGAAATTGCCCCTCCTCCTACTCACTCCCGATCCTCCTCCATGTCACCCCAGCAACCCTTGGCAAGGCCTCAGAAATGTCAGAAAAGTCACATCCTGGGGGGCTGCAGGGGTTCACCCATGCTGCTTTGAGGAGGCCAGCCCTGCCCTGGTAAACCCTTGCTGGTGCCTGCCCCATGATGTTGCTATAGCCAGACAGTCAGTCATGTCAGAGACGAAGGTAAAGATTGAGGCAAGGGTGCCTGCTCCTGCATTTTCTGCACCATTGCCCTGTGTTACCTCATCTAGTCCCAGCCCTCCTTGCGACCACAATAGGTCCCCACCGGGGAATTGCTTGCTTTGCTGGCACTGACTGTGACGTTCGGTTCGCGGAGCTAACTGAAGAAAAGCAAATTGAAATTGCCCATATGGATGCTAGCCACTAATTTGAAATTGCCCGCAGTAATACAGTTGTGAGGGACTGGCAGGCCAGCTGTGGGGGGTGGCGGATGTGGAGGTGGCCAGCTAATCAGGAGCCAGTTCCCCGGCACGATTGATGAGCGGGTCTTGTGCTGAATGAACAGCCCTGAAATAGAACTGTACCAGCCTGAGCACTGGGGAGCTGGAGACTGGATGAACACACCCCTGCTTTCTCATTCCCAGCTCAGGAAAATACAGCCCCTCGGTGTGAAGGTGTCACCATGGATGCCACCCAGTATCAACATTTGTCATCCAAATAGGCTTCTTAATTTTAGATCCCCCTGCCACCTCAGAGCATGCAAATAGCGATACCCCGCCTCAGAAAGGGAAGAGTGGGCACTGCCATCTCCATAGCAACCGGAATACTAAGGGTGGATGGACTGAGCCTTCTAGAACCCTCAGACCAGTCCTTTCTCCGCCAGTCTGTGGGTGGCTCGCCCATGCACCCCCCATGTTATCCACCCTGAAAGGCTTCTTTACTTTGTTTCTTAAAGGACTAGTCTACCCTCCCCATTGCCCCTCACCTCTCAACCCACCACCGTTTCATCTCTACGCCACAGAAAAAATTGTTTCCAGAAAGTGCTGTGGTGTAAAAGTAGCACAAAACTCCTCTGAAAACTACAAAAGCCTGGAGAAATTCCGAAGGCCTAAATAAATGGGAAGACATTTGGTATACATGGGTTGAAGATTTAATGTTGCTAAGATGGAATCTTAGTTGGGTTTCTGTGCCTGTGATAACACACTGACCAAAACCAACTTGGGGAAGGAACGATTCATTGCACCTTATAGGTTCATTGAGAGAAGCCAGGGTAGGACCCTGGGACAGGAATTGAGGCAGAGACCGTGGAGGGATGCTACTCACTGGCATGGTCCCCATTGCTTTCTCAGCCTTTTCTATAGGGCTCAGGTCACCTGCCCAGGGGTGGTCCAGCCCGCAGTCGCCTAGGACCTCCCACATGGAGCATTACTCAAGAAGATGCCTTACAGATGTGCTCACAGGCCAAGTGATGGAGGCAGTGTCTCCTCTGAGGTCCCCTCTTCGCAGGCGACACTAGCTTGTGCTGACAGACTGACAAGCACAGGTGGCCTCACCCCAAGAGCCGTCCTCCAAGTGCAGTGTGACCCCCATAAACATGGCGGCTGACTTGTTCACATACATTTAAAGCTAATCCTAAAGTTTATGTGGAAATCCAAGAGACCCAGCCAAAATAATAAAGCCCCCTAATATTTAATGGGCTAAAGATCTACATTTTTTCCAAAGACGGCATATGATTGACTCCCTAAGCTCATGAAAAGATACAGAATATCATTAGACACCAGCCAATAGGAGCCACAATGACCAGGGCTGGGCTTGGGCATCTCCGTCCAAGCTGCTCTCCCATGCTTCCTCTTCATTCAGCTGTACCAGTCAGGCTTAACTCTGAAGCAGGCATTGCCCAGGGCAACAGGGCTAATCCTGCTTCTCCCTGGGATCCAGAGCCGACGCCTCCACATGCTAGCTCCTCCCTCTTGGTGTGGACAGGACACTGGAATGCTGCAACCTTGAGCTGCCATTAAGCTGCTTCAGCTGCAAAGCCCATGGTGACGTGAGAGCCAGCACCTCCAGTCCGTGTGGTCCTTTGAGCGGCAAAGGAAAACTTGAGCCCATCTTCCAGACAGCCCAGAACCAAGTGGGCTCCCTCCGCTAAGAGATCGGCCGGCTGGGGTGGCCCACTGAGGGTCCAAGTCCTGGGTCTTCCATCCAGGGCTTCCTTCCTTCTTTCCGTCCTTCTCGATCCTGAGTGTGAATATCAGAGGCCAGAGGCAGGAAATCGCCACAGAAAAAAAGTCAAATAGGAGGTACCTCCCAGCCGGGCGGTGGTGGCGCATGCCTTTAATCCCAGCACTCGGGAGGCAGAGGCAGGCGGATCTCTGTGAGTTCGAGGCCAGCCTGATCTAGAAAGAGCTAGTGCCAGGACAGGAACCAAAAGCTACGGAGAAACCCTGTCTCGAAAAATAAAAAAAAAAAAAGGAAAAAGAAAAAGAAAAAGAAAAAGAAAAGAAAAGGAGGCACCTCCCAGGGCTCAGCCAGGGACACACTTAAAGAGGTCACAATGGAAACCTCAAAATCCCCTCACCAAGTGCACCGCACGCCCCCCCCCCCCAGCTTCTCTGCTGTCAGTTCTCTTCTCCGTGTGGCCTCATCTTTCCTCCTGTCTCTTCCCAGAATGAACCAAAACGCCTAAAAAAGCACCTCCCCAAACTCCTGAAGCTCCTGAAGCCGGATGATAGGATCCTGATAGTGGGGACCACACACCGCCCCTTTGACGCTGAGCTCCAGCCCTTCTGCAGGGTTTACCAAAAGATTATTTTGGTACCCCGTCCCGACTACGCTTCCAGATACGGCAAGTATTATAAGGCCTTCCACGTGACCCGAGGCCTGGTCCCTGAGCTACAGCATGCAGGCGGGTAGCGCGGGAGGACCACGGGTGGGCTTGGAGCAGTGACTCTCAACTTTCTAATGCTGCGACCCTTCAATGCAGTTTCTCATGTTGTGGTGACCCCAAACCATAAAATTATTTTCATCGCCACTTCCTAACTGTAATTCTGCCACCATTATGAATCATAATGTAAATATCTGTGTTTAACGATGTGCTTAAAATGACTCTGTGAAAGAGTCATTCGACCCACAGTTTGAGAACCACTGGCTTAAAGGACCCTGGGCACTTCAGGCCCTAGGTTGCTAGTCCCTCTATCTGCAAAGCGTAGGACCCTGACTACATAACATCCGTGTTACATGCATAGCAAGGAAGACTCTGGGACCCGTTATGTCTCCCCCCACCTAGGGCTTGTCTATCATGTAGGGTCACAGCAGGTTCTTCATAGCCAGCCAGCCCAGAGCAGGAAGGTGGGTCAGTGGGTGTCACAGATGATGGGACAGGAGGGAAGAATATGAGGCATCAAGGAGCCAGGCAGAGGTGATGGGGAGAAATGAGGAGGCGGCGCTGTGGGGAGCAGAGAGAAGAGGGTGCCGTGCAGAGCAGGGGTAAAGACCCCGCTCTCGCAGCACTGGGGAGGACACCATTGCTCTCAGGCCTCCCCTCCCTCTCCATCTTGCTCACTTTTCCTCTTCTTTTATTGTGTGGGGTGTTCACTTTAAGGGACCACAGCACGAGGCCCGGCTTTGGATTGAGTGGCAGTTTTGGATTGGATGGCGGCTTTGGATTAGGTGGCTTCTGTTGTCTGGCAAAAGGGAAGCCATCAGCGGATGTCACAGGCAATTGCAGTCTGAGACAAAATGCTGGGCATCTCCAAGAACTCAGCTTTCTTTCCTAAATCTAAGAACTATGGATTCTTTCCTGCATGTTTTCTGACTTCATCACTGTGGTGGAGAAGGCAGCCCTTCCTCTGGGACGGAAGATACCTCTGCTGGGCCCAGGGCCAATCCACCATGCGGCTGCTTCTCACACGTTTCTTCTCGGAACTGATTTGTCTGACCACCATTTTTGCTGACATTATAAATCTTTCCGTGTTCCCCACAGGACCTTGAGGCTTTTGCTATCAGTGCGGTAGAGCATCTGTCTTAGAGAAAGACCACTTCTGCCTCCGAGGTGATCGAGGTGATCACTGTGGTTTCCTCCAGCCCTGCGGGCAGGAGCTGCAGATCCATAGCAGGGCCACTACTCGGCCATTTATCTATCAGCAGCCAGAGCTCCAGAGGTTTATAAACACCACCCCCCCCCACACACACACACACAACTCAAAAAATGCCACAGGGCTGAGTGGGGTGACACGGGCCCAGAGAGATCAGCAGGCAGCTGTGGGGCTCCAAGTAAGGCTTCCTAGACATAACTCAGTGTCTACCTCCCACCTAGCCCCAAATCAAGCCACTCTACAAACCACCCCCAGGCTGATGAATGCCCTGGACCACCCTAATGCTTCAGCATAGCTGATCTCCCCGAGGGTCTACCTAACTAATTACACAATTCATCATAGGCCCCGCCCACATGGGGATGAATGCAGAGCCAATGTCTTCACGTTTGTTTGGGATTCAAGGCCCCAGAGGGTCAGACACTCCCCCAAATCATATCACTTAACTCTTTCACTCGAGAAGCTCAAGATAAAATGAACGCTAAGATACTATGTCATGGTGAACCCAGCCAGGGTTAGGTCAGTTGGGGACAACAATAGCAGATGGCCGAGCCCAGATTTTTCCCCTTCTCCACAAAGGAGAGGGAATGGGGATTGGTCTGTAGTAAGGGGCCTGCCCTTCCAAAAGAGGAAGTGCGAGATGGACCTGGAGTGATGGCCCAGGCAGCAAATGCTTGCTGACCTGTAATTGGACCTGAGCTTGGAGCCACCCCCTCCAGCTTCCACTTTCCATGCTGGGCATGGTGATGCATGCCTGTTGTCCACGCTCTGCAGAGGCAGGGACAGGGGACTTCCTATCTCCACCTGCCTCCACCTGCCTACCAGCCAGCTCGGTCAAATCAGTGAACTCTGGGTTCAACCAGAGATCCTATCTCATGAAATGAGGTAGAGAGTCACTAAAATATAGGACATCAGCCTCTGACTTCTACATGTGAGAGCATGTGCACGCGTGCGCACACACACACACACCCACACACACATGCACACGCACCCACACACACACGCACACGCACTCACCCACCCACACACACACACACACATGCACACGCACCCACACACACACACACACAGTTCCCACCAGAAGGCCCCTCGCTGTCATGGACACTCTTGAGTCCTGACAGGGTCCTCCCCCCACCCACACCAGCCCTAAGACATCTGTACTTGTTCCTCCCCATCTGTACTCCTAGGTCACACCAGCTGCCTGCCAGCTGGGCCCACTGTGGAGCTCCTGTCTCAAGTGAGACTTCCATGCAAGGTCCCGTAAGTTCTGAGGACAGTGGCTCCAGTAGCACCATAAATTTCTTGTTCTTGTTCTTCTTCTTCTTCTTCTTCTTCTTCTTCTTCTTCTTCTTCTTCTTCTTCTTCCTCCTCTTTCTCCTCCTCCTTCCTCTTCCTTCTTTTGAGACAGAATCTCACTACATAGCTCTGGATGACTTGGAACTCACTATGTTGACCAGGCTGGTCTTGAACTCCCAGAGATCTGCCTGCCTCTGTCCCAGCATGTGCCACCACACCCATCAGATATTCTTTTAAAGGTGAATAGGTCAAGTTCATCAGGCACAAGGTGGAAATCAGGCGTCTGCTCTCATCCACCGAGTCCTAAGGTGACTGTGGGCAGGTGGACAAGTCCCCTAACTGCTCTCGCATTGTGCCTCCACTCGGGGTAATGAGCCTTGGGCTGTCAGCGATGTGTGCATCCTGAGAAATTTTCAGAACAGCGCTATGCCATTTCTAGCATCATGCATTTCTTTTTTGTTTTCTTTAAATGATTTCTGGTTGCTGTACAGAATAATGAGTTTTATTAAAACGGTGTCATGTAGTATCATTGTAGCTTGCTAATATAGAACCCCCTCCACCATCCCAGCTCCCTTCTCCTCCACCTTCTAGTCCCTTTCTTTCCCCCAGAGAGTCTCTCTTCTGTTTTCATGTTGTGCGTGAGTGTGCACGTGTGTGTGTAAATCTGGTTTCTGTATATAGGAAACATATTTGGTTACACCAGACTCTGTATATTCCATGACTGATGGAGATAGAGATCGCTCATATTAGGCAGTTGGATGAGCTAGGTCAGGAGAATCCAAGGCTGTACCTACTGCAACCTGACATGCAGCAGAGACAGGATGGAGGCTCTGATTCTGGGGTGCCCAGGCTCTCACTGCTCACCCAGAGACAGTTCCACCTCGTGCCACCTGTAGCAGTCTTGTGTACACAAAGACCCAAGCTATCTGACTTTCCATCTTGGTTTCTGCTGTGGTTTCAGCTACTTGTGATTCTCCCCGCCTCACCTGCCAGAGTCACCACTGGGAACCACTGTTTTTTTTTTTTTCTTCTATAGCTTGAACATGCTTGGGCAAAAGCCAAAGCTGTTTGGAAGTGACACCATTGTCTAGCTGAGGCTGCTGTCTGCCATTTTTGCTGGAGTTTGTATTTTCTGATTTCTAACTCTGTAGTGCTTATATTTGGATGCAAATTCTCCAGGCTTGCTATGCTCTGTCTCCACATGCGCACACACACACACACACACACACACACACACACACACACACAATGTTCTGTAGTTCATGTTTCATAGCTGATGATTGGGGGACGGGGTTAAGAAACTTGAAGGCATTGTTAATTTGAATCACGGTAATAATCCAGGTACAGAGAAATCCCTGTCCATGATGGGACTTCCAAGTATTTCAGGTACATTGCTTTACTTCCTTCTCCCGCTAGCACTAACTGGAGTTCCAACCCCAATAAACCCATCAAGGACATAGCAGGATTCTAAGAAGTTTGCTGTTGTGTTGTTTTGAGCCAATAGGAGCTCCCCATAGCCCTGGCGCTTCCTCCACAAGCCCCCAAAAACATTTTTCCTAATGATGCAGCAGTTTGACTCATTTAAGGGCCATACCCACAGCCCAGGAGGCCAGGAGCCATGGACCCAACCCAGGAGTAAACACTGGGCAATTCTTACCTGGGCGGTGGTACTCCCTAACATTGTCATGGGTCTTCCCTCAGCCATTTTAGCCCTCATTGTCATAAGCAGAACTTTACATCTTGACTGCTTTGGGTGAATAGAGTCATTGAATAGACCCTGAATGAACCCCTGACCAATGGACCCAATCATCAGATTTGGGTCATTTTTAAAATGTAGTTTTTGGTATTCCTTGAGGATGTTAAAATGCTGTGGGATCTCACCAGACCTTCCAAATGAAGAGACAGACAGACAGTCACAAGAATACTCCTCATCTGGCCCAGTTTGGAAACAGCAGGCCCCAGAAATCCCCTTGAAGGTCCCTGAGCAATGGGGACACAGCATGCTGGACATGGTGTTATTGTGAAGATCATACAAGGCATCGATCTGTCTCTAAAGTTAAGCACTAAGCATTTTGTAACTCCTTTTCTCTGCATCCCTGTGCTGCGATAGAAATGACCCTCGACCTGCACCCATCTGATAGGCTGCAGTCAGCCAGTGTGTGGACAGCTAACAGGGGGGCAGGGAACACACTTGCTCTGTTGGGTCCAGTGTGTGCTGTTGCTATGTGGGGCCTGGCTAATAAAAATGGGACTCTGTATTCTTATTCCGGTTACAATGATAATACAAGAAATGAGCCTTGTAATTAAAAAGATAAAGGCATGCATCTTCCACTTATCCACACTCATGAGGAAACATGATACTCAATGACACCACACATGCCCAGGGTAATTCCCATCTTGGAAGTTTTTAAATATCTTTACAGGTGCCACATTAAAACCTCGTGAGTTTCGTGTGAGTGTGTGTGTGTGTGTGTGTGTGTGTGTGTGTGACTTTACAAGGGACCCAAGTGAAACTACAGACCTGAGGGTCTCCTATATGCACCTCCTATGCTGGAGAAGTCCCCAGAGGAGATGGATTCAGCTGTCTCCTCATTTGAATTGCAAGACACCTGGGGTGGGGTTTCTCTGAGAAATTCTTCTCTAGGTGAGACTGGGCTCTGGGTGGAGACTTGGCTAAGGCTGCTAACCTTGCCGCGACTTTGTTCTCCGTCTTTCCCGCCACCTTGGATGTTGACAGTTCTGTGGAAGCAAATCATCCCGCGCAATGGAGGTGTGCTCACCAATGCCTTGAACATCAGTTGCCTGTCTAAAGTCAGCGACGGCTTCACGCAGGGGCAGATCGTCAAAGTGATCAAAGAGGTCCTCACAGACCGCAGGATCCGGCAGCAGCCACACAAGCCCCTCACGGCCGTCGAGTTCATCACCATGATGACCAGCATGAACCCTGTGTACAAGGAGGAAGAAGAGAGTTTTAAGGTAACAGAATGCCCTGCTAGCCAAATCCTAGGCAAACTCTGATCACGTGACCTCCTCTCTCCCTCCAGTTGCCTGGGTTCCATGGATTCGAGTCCTGCCACATTCAGGGAAATTTGAGGCGCACCGTTCTGAAATCACAACCTCTTTGAGGCTTTTGTCTTCTGAGTTTTCTTTGCGCCCGGAAGGTAGAGCACATGTCTTCTGGCTCTCGGAGAGGCAGCAGTCTGTGGCCTTAGAGAGTAACAGCAAACTGTGGGATTCAAAGCTGCTAATTCCAGAGTTGGGAATGTGGGGGTGGAGCTCAGAGGCACAGCTCTTGCCTAGAAGGCACAAGGCCCTGGGTTCAATCTCCATCCCTGCCTGCGGCAAACAAAATCTCAAACTCACTCTCTCCCTCCCTCCCTCTCTTTCTCTCTCTCTCCCCCCTCCCTTTTTTCATTCCCCTCTCTCTCTCATCCTTTATTCTGTTTTCACTTCACATTTTATATTATGAAACAAGTTTGGGATAGGGAAAACTACTCTTGAAATATCAAGCTGAAGCTATCTGGCCCCTGTCCCCACAGGCTCCCTCCTTTCTCAGTCTCCTATATACATACAATATGAAACATGAGCCAGCTCATAAAATTCAGTTTGCTAGTGTTTGGGAACATTCTAGTGCATTTGTGAGAGGTTTTAGATCTAGAGGGGACCTAGAGAGCTCTCATCCCACATCCTGTTTTCTGTGAGGAACAAAGCTACCCAAGGACCATGCTCCCTCCATTCACATAGCGGGGCTAAGACACAGGAGCCCTTGTCCCGGTGCCTAGGCTGTAGGCATTCCTCAAAGACTGTTTGTTTCCTTTCCTTCAGCTCAGTGGCTCTCGACCTTCCTAGTGCTGGACCCTTTAATATAGTTCCTCATGTTGTGATAATCCCAAGCCATACAATTATTTCATTGCTACTTCATAATTTTGGTACTGTTATGAGCCATAATGCAAATGTCTATGTTTTCTGATGGTCTTAGGAGACCCCTGTGAAGGGGCCATTCATTCTCCAAAGGGGTCAAGACCCACCGGTTGAGAACCATTGCTTTAGCTCAGTGTGAACAAAGGTGTGTCCTAGATCAAGGGATGAAAACTACCTGTGCCAAAGAAGGTCACCACAGTGTCACACTGCCACCAAAAGGAGGCTTCAAAGTTTCATTCAAGATTTTCACCTCCAAGAGCCTGCTCAAATTTCCCCTCTAGAATGCATTACTTTTCTACCAAGCCTAAACTGCTTTTCCTTCCTACTTTGTCCCCAAGTACTCCAGTGGGAAGTGAGAAACCATAAAAATAATGTCCCTTTGCTTTATGTCGAGAAGCCACTTAGGAATGAGTACATGTTATATTTGTCTTTCTGGGTCTGGGTTGCCTCACTCAATATGCTTTTATCTAGATCCATCCATTTGCCTGCAAATTTCAAGATGTCATTAATTTTTACCATTGTGTAGTGCTCCATTGTACAAATGTACCACATTTTCCTTATCCATTCTTCAGTCAAGGGGCATTTAGGTTGTTTCCAGGTTCTGATTATGACAAACAATGTTGCTATAAACATAGTTGAGCACATGTCCTTGTGGTATGATTGAGCATCCTTTGGGTATATACCCAAAAGTGGTATTGCTGGGTCTTGAGGTAGATTGTTTCCTAATTTTCTGAGAAATTGCCATACTGATATCCAAAGGGGCTGTACCAATTTGCACTCCCATCGGCAATGTAGGAGCATTCCTCAACCCCAGACAACCTAGACAACAAAGAGGACCCTAATAGAGGCATATGTGGATCTACATAGGAAGGAGAAAAAGACAAAATCTCCTGAGTAAATTGGAAGTGTGGGGGTCATGGGAGAGGGTAGAAGGGGAAGGGGAGGAAAGGAGGGAAAATGTATAGCTCAATTTAAAAAAAGAAAAGAATCTGTGTTCTTTAAAAGAGACAAAAATAAAAGAAAAAATAATAATGCCCCAGAACTAGTGTCACCAGGGTGATGAGAGTTTCCTGTAAAGATCCAGCGCGAGAGAGCCGGGCATGGTGGCACACACCCTTAATCCCAGAACTTAGGAGGCAGAGACAGGCGGATCTCTGAGTCTGAGGCCAGCCTGATCTGCACAGTGAGTTCCAGGACAGCCAGGACTACACAGAGAAACGCCATCTAGAAAAAAAGAAAAGAAAAGAAGGAAGGAAGGAAGGAAGGGAAGGAAGGAAAAGAAAAGACCCAGAGAGAACATGAGGCTTTGACAGCCTTGCTGTTGCTGCCTGGGCCACCTGTGAATCATAACACAAGAGCCTCTTACCCAGTGTGTACATAGATGATGATGGTTGTGTCCCAATAAAACGCTCTTTGCAAGACAGACAACAGACGGGATTTGGCCTATTGCTATGTTTTATGGACCCCAGCTATTGCAAAACTGGGAAAGAAAAAACCTCCAACTGCAGCCAGTTTGTTGAGCACTGAAGTTTTTTATGCTGTCCTGTTAACTGCTGAACATTCTGATGCACTAACTGTATTAGTTAACAGATCATCATCTCCCAGAGACATAATCTTTTCTGGAATTCTGTTTTTTTACCCCTTTCTAAAACACTGGCTTTCCACCTTGTTTTGAGGAATGTAATTTATCATATTAAAACTTGAAGCTGGTTTTTTAGCTTTGCAAATTGACCTCTAGGAGTTTTGCCTGTGCTGTGTGTTTGAGGACTGTGACTGTGGGCCCAAACACATATGCCTCTTGCCTCCATTCTGGGGGGGTTTAGTCATTCCGTTCATTTCTAAAGAAACAGCATCATTTCCCCACCATCAGCCTATTCCCTAATCATTAGTGTAGCAGCAGGCACAGTGCCTAGCCCCAACTAGATGTTCGATAGATTTGCTAGTGACACATTTATGGAACAGATGGGATGATGTCATCACACTCCTGGATACTGTGATGACCATTGCTGACATGGTGCACAATCAGACCCATACGTTTTCCCTGACTGTGCTTCTGAGAATGTATCTACTGAGCTCACAGCTCCTCCAGAACATTCTGTCCTGTTCCCTGGATGTGGCAGAGAAAGTGTATAAATCTATAGATGGTATAATCATTTAGACCTCATAACCTTTTATTTTATAGGTAAAACAGCCTGATCTATAAGAAGTATGGTGAGTGTCTTAGGGCATCTATGGCAGTGAAGAGACACCATGATCGCAGAAACTCTTAGAAAGGACAACATTTAACTGGATGGCTTACAGTTCAGAGGTTCAGTTCATTGTCAGCATGTGCAACATGGTGGCATGCAGGCAGACATGGTGCTGGAGAGGGAGCTGAGAGTCCCACATCTTGCAGGCAACAAGAAGTTGACTGCATGTTACGCTGCACAAAGCTCAAGTGATAGAGACCTCAAAGCCCACCCCCACAGTGGCTCACGTTCTCCTACGAGGACACGCCTACTTCAACAAAGCCACACCTCCTTATAGTGCCACTCCCTTTGGGGGCCATTTTCCTTCAAACCACCACAGTGGGTACGCAGAGCTTGGTACACAGACCTTGCAAGGCAAAGGAAGAATAAGTTTGCTGTTGGCTGACCCTAAGATCCTCAGACCAGCCTGGCCTGTTCCAGTAAGTTCAGTGAAATCCTGAGAGAAGAGGAGGTCGGGAGAGAGATGGGGCAGTTGGAGGGATACTCACTGTGTCGCTAGCCTGTGGATGGACGGGGAACCACAGACAGAAGAGCAGGGGTCTGGGGAAAAGCAGAAGCTGCAGAAGGCAAGAGAACAGTCTCTCTTCTGGGGCCTTCAGAGAGGTGCACAGTCCTACTGATGCCTTGACCTAGGTCAGTAAGACCATTTCCAGGACTGTGAAGTCCTAAATGTGCTGTTTTTGAATACAGACTTGAGTAATTTTCCAAAACACCAGAGAAAAAAAAGGAAAGCAATACAAGAAACGGGTAACTGTACAGTCACTCAGCCAAGAGCAGCAGAGCCATGATTCATGGCTCACTCCAAGATCAAGTTCCTTAGCAGGACTCTAAACCAAAGAAGAAAGAAGTCAGCACTGAAGTTCTAAAAGCGGGACCAAGGCTAAGACAAGGAGGAAATGGTCCTTGGGGAACTCTCAGACAGGTACTAGCCTCTGGGATAATGCATGTAGCTGAGTCCTGGAAGCATAAGGTACACATATGTGGGAACCTTGGTCCCAGCTAATGGCAAAATGGGCCCTGAATAGAATTGGGGTGCTTTCAGGCCGCAATCAGGGATTGTTTAATAAAAAATGTTCCATATAATACTAAACACCTTGCCTGCACACTGTCCATGAAGGATTCATATCAGCACTACTCCAGGGCACCAGAATCTCAACTTGAAGTGCTAACATGTTTTAAAAATATTTGTATTTAATGATCATAATTGTATGACCATTAAAACCCCTGAAATCATTATGAAAAGCAAGGAGAAAAAACACTCTATGTAGAAGTGCATCCAAGTCAAGGGACATCTGATTCCTACAAGAAACATGACTCCTGAAGAAAACAAATTCATAACAAAAAGCATTCTCACCCAGAAGGAAATGACATGGCATACCAGTACCGAACTGGGACCACTAAGAACTTACAGAACATTCTGAGGGACACTACATATTAAGTGTGATCAAATTACAAAAAGCCAGAAATATTGCAAAAGGACAACACATACACTAGAGAAAAAGAACCAAACAGAATATCTGATACTGAAAAAAAATTAACAGACATTAAAGTAAACATTCAATGAATATGCTATTTGTTGGCTAGACATAGACACTAAACTTAGCCTGCAGATGGTCAGGGAACCACAGACCATTAAAATTAATGTAAAAATTAGAAGAGGAAAACATTGCAGAAAATATAGTGTTCATGTAACAATAGTTAATGAGAAAAGAGGCAATGACATTGAAAGAGAACAAGGAGAGGTGTATATAGGAAGACTTGGAGAGAGCAAAGGGAAGAGATAAATGGTGTAATTATATTACAATCTCAAAAAAGCATTAAAAATTTTTAAATGAATGATATGACAAAATGGCTTGAATACATATAATTACATGTTCAAGAAAATAAGGAAAAATATGACTTGCATAGAAATGCACTTTTAAAACAAAAAATTAAATAAGAGATCATTATCTTTTAAAACCACAAAACAAAGTTTATAAGTGAAAAAATACAGTAGTTAATTCAATGGCAAAAACTAAGGCAAGTGTGAACTCCAGACTAGGTAAGGAAGGTCAAAGAGCGAATCACAGAACTGGAAAGTGGTCCTGGGGAGTTCCGCTACAGAGGATCACAGATGAGCAAAACACGTAAAGTTAGAAAACTGGAATGGCAATCTACACGTCCAAAGGAATTGACCTTCAATTATCAGAATTCTCAGAAGAAAAGAACACACATCTAAAATGAGACTGGCAGAGAATTTTCCCCAATTAAAAATATGAGGTGTCAGATTAAAAATAAACTACAAGTAGACAGCTAGACAAGGAGTGAATGCACTTTATCAATTCTTAGAAGTCTAAGAAAAGATAACAAACTCCACTTAAAAGCTCTCAGATTGCCCCCAAAGAAACAACATGTGTGATCAAACATCTCTTTGACAGCAGAAGATGCCAGAAAACAGTAACTTATATGCTCAGAGTGTTGAGGGAAAATGATCATCTAACTAATATTTATATCCAGCTAAACTAGCATCTAAGTGACAGGAGAAAACAAATTTGAGACAGATGACTGAAACAGTCTCCCACTCACAAAGAGCAGCAGCAAGTGGATCTGTGTCATGTAACCAGAAGGAATTCACTTTTTGTGTGCTGTTCCTAAGGAAGTCCTCTCACATATGTCAAGGGGCTGTACAATTGTAAACTGGGCTAGAGAGAGAAGCATTGCATTCAGGAGAGTGCTTATTGCTCTTCTAGAAGACCCTAGTTCAGTTCCCAGAATCCACGCCAGGTGATGTACAACTGCTATTGTTCCAGCTCCAGGGGATCTAGTGCCCTCTTCTGGCTTCTGAAGGTACCTGCACACATGTGGGCACACACAAACGCACACACACATACACACACACACACACACACACACACAAGAGAGCGAGAGAAAGGAAGCAAAGGAGGGAGAAAGAAATCTTGTTTTAACTGAATTGTAAGAAAATGGATAAATAGCATCCAGTATAATCATTTTCTGAAATTATCTGTAAGGTTGTACATTGAAAGGTTTCTTGGGTTGTAAATAAAATATTATCAGTGCCATGTTTTCCACATCTCCCTCAGAGGATGCTGAGTGGCCCCCTGTGGTCTTACATGTCTACCAATTGAGCTACTAATAGCTGACCACATGTGAGGTAACGACCGCATTACCAGGAAAGCCGCATCCCCGGGGCAGTCTTAATTAGGAAGGACTGTGTGTGGAGGTTGCTGTGTGGTTCTCTAGCACAACTAACTACCTGAGGAGAAGTTTCAAGTCACAGAAACCCAAGCTAGAAATTCAATGAGACGTTTGTACTGAACACACGTCAAATGCCCAGTGCCTAACGGCCACTTACTGTCCCCTTCTTAGCCGATACATCTTTACCACCAGGATTACCTTGGTATTTTCCCATCCAATCATTTCCACAACATCTTCTCATTTCAGAACTGGTATGCCAAAACCCCTCTCGGGAAGAAGCGAATCTTGTCACTAACAATCGGCGGCATCAAAGACAAGGAGAAGGATAAAGGCAAGAAGAAAGGGAAAAAGGGGAAAAAGAAGAAGTAGTTTCTTCCTCAGGAGCCACCCTGAGCATCTTTGAGATGGTGACGGCCCCAGCTCATCAGGGAGAGGCTCACCCCTGCCCACCCGGGGATGCCCAAGGAAAAGCTAAGATGCAAGCAACCATTCCCAGCCACTGCCCGCTAACCACTGTGTTTGTTCAGCCACCCTTTAGGAGTCTGGACACTAAGGAAGATGTCCTTTACAGCCATTTCTACTGCTTGCCACTGTTCCTTAACCCCTGCGAAGTCTGTATAATTTGAGTTTGCTTTCCACGTGACCCGCACGCTCCCCAGCGCACACACCTGTCAGTATTAGCTCCAAGATTACAACATGTTTCAGAGGTCTCTCCTGCGACGAGAGCACCATCATTGTGTTGTCAATACTAGCTGTTTATTAACCCATATGCACTGTATATTTTATTGCACATATTTTAATAAATTAATTATTTGCTGTAGTAATAAATATCACATAATGAAATAAAGCTGTTGCCCTTGAACCAACTCAGTAATTGGATTGTCGGAGCTGAGCCAGGTCTTCTCTGTGGCGTCTGCCGCGTGTAGATGAGGCTCAGGAAGTACGGCGGCCCTCTCTGATGTTTGGACCACAGCATGGAGACAGCTGGCTCCTAGAAGCCATCTGACCTCTGCAGAAACCACAACATAACAATGGGGTAGGTAATGAAAAGATGGTTAAGAGAGTGTGTTGCATTTGCAGAAGCCCTGGGTTAGGTTCCCAGCACCCATATGGCAAAGCTCACACCTGTCTGTAACTCCAACTTCAGGGAACCCCAACTCCAGGGAATCCAATACCTTCTCTGGCCTCCGAGGGCACCCGTGCTAACGTATAGATACCTACACAGGAGCACATGCATTCACATGATTAAAAATAATAAATCCTTTTTAAAAAATAAAAATAGAGTAAGTGCAAATAAAATAAACCCAAATGGGGCACTTTAAAGAGATAAATAAAAACATTTGAGGATAGATGCATTAAGGGGTCCAACATAGAAATTTTTTTTAAATATTTGTTTATTTATTATGTATACAATATTCTGTCTGTGTGTATGCCTGCAGGCCAGAAGAGGGCACCAGACCTCATTACAGATGGTTGTGAGCCACCATGTGGTTGCTGGGAATTGAACTCATGACCTCTGGAAGAACAGTCAGTGCTCTTAACCTCTGAGCCATCTCTCCAGCCCCCAACATAGAAATTTAAACTTTGTCAGAGTATAGCAGGCTATTTGGTGGGAGACACATTGAAATAACATTGAGGATTAGTTACAGAAAGGAGTCATGTCTGAGAAGGGGTGATGTCATTTCGGTGCTAAGGATACCTCATCTAATAGTTTTGGATACAGCAGGGCTGCCACATCTCCCAGTAACAGGCCAGGCCGGATATCCAAGTTCTCCAGGACCCAGCAGCATGGCCCATGGCTCACAGAAGACTAGTTATCCAATCAGCCACACATGTCCCAGCCTGCATCTGTATGTGGCAGGCAGCACAAACAAGGAGACACAGAGACCCTTGCTTACCCGCAAGTCTCAGACATGCTCTGTACACGCCCAAAAGCACAGCAGCTGTCCCAGAGAAATTCCTGGAAGAGAAACTCTGGGCCCAGTCATCAATGCGTTCTTCAGATTCCGGGCCGTGCCCCTTAGCAAGAGTTAGGGGCACATAGGAGAGTCCTGTCACTCAGGCTCTGGGTTAAGTCTGACCCGCCCTATTCCACAAAGCAGCTGCAACTGTCAAACTTGATGGGCTTGCCTGAAATCACACTTAAGGCCTAGCCTGTGCAGGCAGGGTGGAGGGGTGCGTGAGAAGAGTAGATGCTCTCTTCTGCAGTTCTGTCGTGGTCTCAGTTCTGCCTGGGCCGTTATGTGGCAATTAGCTCCTCTTGAGCATGCTCCTAAGTGGAGGGGGCAGTAATTAATGGCATTAACCCTCATTATGGGGGCATTCTATGGCGTGGCATCTGATTAGTGTGGAATTAGAGTTCTCTGGTGGTTCCGCACCCAGCCTGCACTTGTGAAGAGATAGATCCTGGTTCCCAAACCATTGCCTGGCCTCCCAGCATTCCTCACCAAATTCCCCAGAGACCACCAGTCCTTTGACAAGCCCCTCTGCTCGGAAATCTAATGCAGAAGGATCTGCTCTTTGAGGTTTTCCTCTGCACCTGTCAGCGTGCGCGACCAAGGCAAGCCCCGCGGCAGGTGATCACAGGGTAGCTGTACCCCAGCTGTGCTATTTGTCATCACTGTGGTACCTAAGCCACTGAGGAAGGTAGCTCCCGATGTCCCTGAAACCCTAAGAGTTTATTGTGAGGGATGCAGGAATGATGTTAGAAAAAAACAGAAGGATCTGCAACCAGCTACCACCTGTCTGGGCAAGATTTGGAAAACCCTGCTGATCCTGAGCCAAAGCCTGCAGGGCACCTGAAACAACTCTTCTCAGGAGTTTTCACTTGCTAACATAGGTCCCTTAGCGATCCTGTTTCCGTAGAGGCTCAGTTGCAGCTCAGCTAGCTTCTAGGTGATGCTCAGGAAGTTGCTGGGTGGTTCAGTGGTCACGAATGTTTATAAAACGCTGTGTGGATGAGGGTACCTCTCTGGACCACCCTGGGAGCTGGTGTAAGAGGTCACGTTCCCTGCCACTAGCTTCAGCCCTCAGGAATCATCAGCTGTCGGAGCCTGATGAGGTGTGTGAGTCAGGCTCTCCTGAATCCATAGCTCTGTGTCACCTAGGAAACCCGTGGGATGCAGGGATGCAGCCCTCATCTCTAGAGCCTTGTCCCCTCCTCTTCTCAAGTCCCAGCCTGACAGGAAGTTAGACTAGACAGCAGCCTATGAGGAGGTTCATGCTTCTCTACTCTGGGCCAAGTGGGACAGGGCTGAGTCCAACTTACACCAGTACAGCCACACACATACAAACACACCCATACATACAGACACATATGCAAACAGAAGACCAAACACTTTGCATGCTTGCATGCAGATTACATGCATGACCACATGTGACATTCATAAACTCACATGCACACATACAAACTATGTCAAATACACACACATACCCGGGTACGCACATATACACAGAATGCTCATACATACGAACATACCACCACTACAGATGTGCACAGAGATGCATATAAAAACATACATGCATAGACACAGATTAGACGTACAACCATATACACTCACATATGCACAGGTTTACACACATGCACACACTCAGCCCTGAGTCCCCCACCTCCTCAGAGGGTCGATGGCAGGTGCCCTGGCCTGCACAACCCTGGGCCTTCAGGCCACATCCGGGAGCTATGGCAGGGACCAAACCAGCGCAGCAAATGCAGAAGACACTCAGGCAGGTGCTCAGATGATGTTGACTGTTTACCCACTATGCTCTGTATAAACATCCTCTTCCTGCTGCTCCTCATGGGAGTTAAAGGACACCCCAGCTGCAACAGGAAGGGCTGATGATGCAGGAACCACAATTCCCAGCTGGACCTCATTCACAAGTGGTTCTACAGCTGCTCCCCAGGAGAACGCCATGGATAGGGGTCACATTGTGAGGGTGTCTCCACTAGGCATAGGGCCAAAGAAGCCTGGGGGCGAGGGGTGCAAGTTCTAAGATACCAAGTCTGATGGGCCAGCTGTAGGCAGAGGTGGAGCTTTGGATGGCCTGGGGCCTTGTTTCCTGCTTCTTTCATGAAAGACCTAGGGAGATTCCAGACAGCTCCTTCAGCACCTGAGTTCCTGTCATTCTGAGGATAAGATTTCTACAGGACCTCAGCCAGGACAGACCTTGGGCCATTCTGGAGATGAGTAGTGGTGTTGTACACCCAGAAGATAGACCAGCATGCCTGGGTTTCCATTTGAAAGGCCAAGACACAACATTCTGGAAGGACAAGAACAACTGGCGAATTGAGCGTCCACTCCCACAGGGCACATGGTTCTCTGGGTATCCTGTCTTATATAAACCTGAACTTTAGTGTTAGAGCCAGAACCCACTCTAGGCTGAGGTTGCCTTTATCCCAGACAGCAGAGGTACCATTTGTCTTTGATCTTTACTAGCTATCCACACAGCCACCTGGGCTAGGCTGTGCCCTGTGCCCCAGGAGGCTACCGGGAAAGATGGGCTGTCTCTGCCTCCGCAAGGATTCTGCTGGCTTCTAACTCAAAACCTACCAGCTTGCAGGTCATGCCCCACCCACCAACTCTGTTACATAAGCCTGTGTTTTTTCAGTCTTTGCAGCCTCTGGACATGAAGTCCAAGGATCTGGTCTCTGTGCTCTCCGAGCTGTGCTGGAAGGAGAGAATCAGAAAAGAAAGATTCCGTGTTGCTGGTATGTCTCCAGAGGTAGGACGAGCACAACTTCAACACTGGATAAACAGTATACAAATTAATGTACATAACTCTACTGTTACCAATAAACTCCCTAGGTACTTATATGATACTAGATGTTTGATTGGTTGGTTGGTTGGTTGGTTTATATATGATTGTAAGTAGATGATGATGATAGATAGATAGATAGATAGATAGATAGATAGATCCATACATACACGATAGATAAATAGACAGACGACAGATAGATAGATAGATAGATAGATAGATAGACAGATAGATAGATCAATGACTGATAATAGGTTAATGAGAGATGACAGCTCTTTGACAATCTGATTAATACCATTCCCTCATCTGCCTGAAATGTCATTGTTCTTTTGAAAGAGAAACTTTCCCATAATCTTTAACCAAAATGCAAATACCTTAGAGGGGTAACTGCTCTTGTGTTTAGTGAATGGGGACCAATACAGAAAAGTACTTCCCTGTGAACCAGGCAGATCGGCTCCTTCCGACGCTGTCTATCCCTTCCTGAGAGGGCAGCCCAGAAGGGTCTCACCTGGTTTTGAACTTCACATAGATGTAAGCACATGCTCTCCTTGGCCAGGTTTCTTCTTACATGCATTGTACCTGAGTCTCTTCAGCTTTCCACGGCAAGCTTTCCCTGTCATCATGGAACAGGATTGCTGTGTCGACACTGCGTTTAGAGTTTTTATTTCACAACTAAGGAGAATCTGTCTTTGCCCTTAGTTTGGGGCCCTGTGTGTGATGTTACTGTGGTCGCTTGTGTGAGAATCTCTCCATGTACACATGCGTAGATGAGAACCTCTCCATGTACACATGTGTAGAAGGGCTGCTGTTCTCCTGGCATAGCATCCCCCAAGGTGGCCGGCAGCGCTGTGGCTCATTGCCATGGCTGTGTATTTTCCCCATCAGCACAGACAGACTCTCAGTTCCGCATCATCCTCACACTTAGCATGGCCAGCTGCTTTCATTGTCTCTGCCTTGGAGTGGGAGCCAGCATCACGGGGGAGTTTGAATGTCCTTCCTCTGGTGACTACTGGGTGACACAGTTCCCC